AGTAAATACTCTGAACTTGATGTTCACCTGCACTATGAGTTTTTCACTCCTATCTCGTCCCATTTTTTTTTTTTTTTAATTTAAATTGTGATTTGAGTGAAAGTTTACAGAACAAATTCATATTCCATACAGCAGTTCATACACATTTTATTTCATGACATTGATATGCAGTCCTTATAATGCAACAGCTCTTTTCCCACCTCCCTGTGGGTACCTTTTTTTTTTTTTTTTTTAATTAGGATTTGGGTGAAGATTTACAGAGTAAATTCACTTTTCATACAGCAGTTCACATATACTTTGTCTCATGTCATTGACCAAAATTTACAATGCAGCAGCTCCCCTCCCACTTCCTCCTCATAGTTACCTCCTCCCAGTGTCCATCCCTTCATACTCTTCTGCACCCTGAGCTATCTCCCTGTGCATAAGCAGCCCTTCCTTCTCCCATGATTGTTCTCTCCAGGGCGTGTGTCTACTTGAGGTAAATGTTTAACTCACATGCCTGTACTTTGTTTGGCTGGAAACCACAGTTGTGGGTTCAATTCCAGACCTGAAGGGCAGCTCGGGGCCATAGTCTCAGTGGTTCCACCAGGCTCTATTGGACCAGCAAACCTGGTCCCCACCTTCTTTTTTTTTTTTTGCCTCCAAACGATTTTGAGTTTTGTACCACATTATTCACCCTCTTTATGTAGGATCTCCTACATCCCTTCCAAGTGGATGGCAGTGGTAGCTGGGCACCATCTAGTTCTTCTGGTCTCATAGTTGTATAGGTTGCAGATCGGATGGTGAACCAGTCGCTAGGACTGATTGTTTCCATTAATTTTGGTTTTCTTCTTTCTTCTTGACGAGGAGAGACCTGTTGTTGCATCTAGATGGCAGCTTCCTAGCTTTTAAGGTCCCAGTTGCTACTCGCCAAAGTAGTAGGTGGAACAATGTTTTGTATAGTATGTTATGCCAATTGAGCTTGATGTCCCCTGCGACTATGGTCCCAAGCCCTCAGGATCAACTACTCGGTCCCTCTGGGTAGCTGGCTGTGACCAAGTAATGACCATAACCTTGCCCCTTGTCAGCTCTACTATACACCTGGGAATTCTGATCATTCACATGAACTTATAGGCCCATTGTCTGCCAACCCTATATATGATCTTGGATACACTCTCCATTTAGACATACCTAATTGTTTAGCTTGTTCACCCATCTATCCGTCCCTATACCTGTGGGTACCTTTTTCCAGTGTTCTTCTTTTCTATGCATTCCTGCCCTTTGAGTTATTTATTGTGCAAGTACTGCCCTTCTGATTTCCCATGGTTGATTGTTCTAAGGAGTGTGCCTACCTAGTGAGTTTTTTTCACCTTATATGCCTTCTTAGTGTTTGGCTGGAAGCCACAGGAGTGAGTTCAGTTCCAGGCCTGAAGGGTGACTAGGGGCCATAGTCTCAGGGGCTCATCTGTCTCTGTTACACCAGTAAGCCTAGTCTTTTTTTTTTTTTTATGGTTTTGAGTTTTGTTCCACATTTTTTCCTAACTTTATCCTGAATCTCCTACACTGATTCCTTTCTGAGTGGTTGACAGTGGTAGCCAGGTACCATCTAGTTCTTCTCATCTCAGGGTCATGCAGCTGAGGTTCCCATGGTCCACTAGTCTCTCTGATTAATTATTTCCATGCGTCTTTGGTTTTATTCATTCTCCTTTGCTCCAGACGAGGAGGGGCCAGTTGTTGCATCTAGATGGCTTCTTGCAAGCTTTTAAGACCCCAGTCATTACTCACCAAAATAGGATGTAGAACAATGTTTTGGTATAGTATGTTGTGGCAGTTGAGCTTGACATCCCCTAAGACCGTGGTCCCAAGCCCACAGGCCCAACAGCTTGTTCCCTCAGGGTGATTGGCTCAGGCTAAGAAATTACCATAACTTTGCCCCCTGTTATTTCTACTTACATGGATCTTTTGTAGTATATACAAATATGTAGGTAGACGTAACATCTGCCAAAGTTATATATGCTCGTGGGTATATTCATTTTTTTTTTTTTCCTTGCTTGTCCCACAGGTCAGATTTATTACAGAAATGTAGTAAGGATACATAGCTGGATCGTAAGGGAAAGAGATGCAGTTGAATCTAGAGGGATCCATATGCAGGCTTCCTTATGTTCTTTCCCTTCCATGAGGGTTCACACAGAATATACTCTTCCCCTAGGAGTAATGATGCAGCAACATGTGTGCTTCTGCCCAAGGAAGCCCATTAGAGATTGAGATTCCAAGATTTTTATTTAGGGCTGGTCATGTAGGTACCCTCTGCCCATAATATAGCAAAAGTTCCCAGTCTCAGAAGGAAAGTATAGGTTCAGCGTAAACTGTAATGTTTGTACAAAAATCCAGCGATAGTGAACCACCCTTATTAGTTAATTGGAAACACTGTAAGAGCCAAACAGGAGCTCTGGTGGCTTAGTGCCTAAGGCATTTGACTGCTACCCAGAAAGCTGGTGGTTCAAACCCACCAGCCACTCCTCAGAAGGGAGGTTGGGCAATCTACTTCTGTAGTGATACAGCCTCAGAAACCCAAGGAGTCGCTATGAGTTAGATCTGACTTGACGGCAGTACGTTTGGTTTGGTAAGAGCCAAGTTCCTAGGCTGGCCAAGGGTCAGCCCTGAATGCAGGCCTGTCTAAGGATAGCCGTCTAAGGCCTACCTGCTGTGGTAACTTTTCTGTACACCAAGTCAGTGCCAAAGGTGGACATACTTTGAAGAAATCAATTTTGAATTTTATGATGTGATGTATGGATTAAAGGTCATTTTTTTTGCATATGTATACCCAATTTTTCACCACTGTTCATTGAATAGTCCTTTCACCATTGAATTGCCTTTGCACCTTAGTAGGAAGTCAGTAGATCTTTTGTGTGTGGTTATATGATTTCTGAAATCTCAGTTCTCTGTATCATTTATCTTCCTTTTCACCCAATGTTAGACTGTCTTGATTACGGTTTCTTTTTAATCATTCTAGAAGTTAGGCAATGTAAAGTCCTTCCATTTTGTTCTTTTTCAGATTCTTTTGCCTGTTCTAGGCCATTTGCATTTCCATATGAACTTCAGTATTGCTTGTACCTTTCTACAAAAAAGGTCTGGTGGGATTTTGAAAGGGATTATGTTGAATCTATAAATAAATTAGGGGGAAATTTGTATCTTAATAATGAGTGTTGAGTGTTCTGATACTTGAAGTTTAAATATCTATTTACTTAAGTCATCTTTAATTTTTTCCAGACATGCTTTGTAGTTTTCAGTTTATAGGTTTTACACATCTTTTGTCAGATTTATCCCATAATTTTTAATGCTATTTTAAATGGAATTCTGAATTTATATTTTTAGTTTATTAGTAAAATATAGGAATATATTTGATTTTTATATGTTGATTGTATATCCTGCAACCTTGTAAACATGCTTATCATTATTAGTTCTGTAGCTTTTTTGGTTGATTCTAAAGGAATTTCTATGTAGATGATTATGTCTTTGAATAAAGACAGTTTTACTTCTTTTCTTTCCAAACTGGATACCTTTTATTTGTTTTTCCTTCTTATTGCACTAACTCTAGGAGAATATTGAATGGAAGTAATAAGAATGAGCATCTTTGCTTTGTTGGTCATCTTAGGGGGAAAACATTCAGTCTTTTTTTTTTTTCTTATTAAATTGTGATTTGGGTGAAAGTTCACAGAGCAAATTCACTTTCTGTACAG